GGGTTGAGAGAGAGGGGGGGGTTGAGAGAGAGAGAGAGAGAGAGAGAGAGAGACAGAGAGAGACAGAGAGAGACAGAGAGAGACAGAGAGAGACAGAGAGAGAGAGAGAAAGAGAGAGAGACAGAGAGAGAGAGACAGAGAGAGTGGTGTGGAAGAAAAAGAGTATTGTTGAGTTAACAAACCGATAAAAGAAAGAGAGAGAAAAGCTGCACGGAGGAACACGGTATATGAGAAAAGAGTATCATTGACAAACTGTCAAAAGATAGACAGGAGAGTTGCGGGGGAGAAAAAGAGTATCAGAGAAGAGTATTTGTCAACCAACTGTCAAATGATAGAGAGAAGAGTTGCATGAAGAAATATCCACAAACAGAAGATCTGTGTGGCCCAACACTGGGTGTTCTGCACGCCACAACTTGCAGATATCACATTGTTCCACTGAAGGGAGAACCTAGGCAAACTGTACACACGCGCACACATTTGTGCATATACACATACACACGCACGCACACACAAACACACACACAACACAATCCTCACTTTAATAAACACGTAAGCATACATTGTGTAAATAAGCTCTTGAAACTATGAGCCCACACACATACACACACACACACGTGAGCATGCAAACACGCACGCACGCACACACACACATAAAGACAAATGCATATAACACACACTAAAAAAATTTAAAAAATTTTAAAAGACCGGTGAGGCACCAGCCCACACCATCTCACAAACTTCAACAGTACAACTAGATTAGGCACAAAATCAGTTTGTTTAGTGTCAGTAGAGGTTTCATAGCGCTCGCAACCGCAAAAGGTCTTATGAATATGAGCACCAAAAGATTAGAGGCGTTACAAGAGAGTAACAAACATAAAAAAGAAGAAGGGGAGATAAGGACGATAGATGTTTGATAGGAAAGAAGAAGCAAACCACACCAGAGCGCCCGCCAACCACCCAGCACAGGATCAAAACACCTTTCCAAAAGGTATTTAACTATTACTATCCACAACATAACAAGGCAGTAGCAAACACTGGAGAATTCACACAGAGACCCGGCACATCGCACTCAGAGAACAGATTCAGGAAAACTCATTAGACAACCCCTCCACTCTGTGTAGTAGGTAGGTGTTTTAAAGCCCCTATCAACACAGTTTAGATCATTTCTATGAGGCAGGCAAGCTTCCACCCTGCCTGTCGTCAGGGCCAACTTGGAGCGACTACTGAGAGGGTTCAAACATCCCAGCAGAAAGACATGCAACACTGCCTTTGGTTATGTGACTGCGACGCCCTTAAAGAATGAAACATCACATCAAAGCTATTGCTCATCTTTGGAAAAGTCATCGAAACAACGCTCTTTGGAACAAAACTGTTTTGTCCTGCATGTAACCCGATCCAACCCAACCCATAGACGTGGCTGAGCTTGAGAAACACGTTAACCGTGACTTAGTGAAAGGACAGAGCACGACGTACAGGCAGAAACGACAGAAAGAAAGAAAAGAAGTAGGAACCACCAGACAAACAGCAGAGAGAAAGAAAAGAAGTAGTTCAGTTTAGTTTTAGTAACGTTTTACTGCACTCGCAACTGCTTAAGAAAAGAAGTTGGAACCACACTGGACAGAAATGACAGAAAGAAAGAAAGGAAGTAAGAACCACCAGTGGTACCCTCCAGCCACCTGTATTTGAAAAGTCAAGAAAGAAAAACGAAAGTGTTTAAAGCTTAAGTAAAGACACATCAGCGAACTGTCCGTCGCCCTTGTGATAAGATCACCTAACAAACAAAACATCCCATCTTTATTTAATTTGACAAACTGATAGCAAATTATCCATTTCATATTTTCAAAGACAAGTCTGAGTTTTGACCAGAAATGCTCCAAGACAGTCTGAAAATAAAGCTGACCATCAGGTAGCTGCAAGATAAAACAATAAAAGTTTTTTCTTCTGTAAAATTGACTCTGCGGGGGTTGGCCGGTCTTATCACAAGGGCAAGAAAACACTAAAGTCTGCAGGAGAACAAAATAACAAAGCTCAGCACATCCTCAAACAACACTTGTGCCCTCGAGCCACCTACACCTGTCTCCTCGGGGAAACCAAACATGGTCTAGTAGTAAGCGTTATACGGCACTTGCAACACAATAAGGTCGTTTAAGTGCCGAAGATTAGAGGTGTTACAAGAGAATAACAAACCAAAAAAAAAGGAAGAAGGGGAGATAAGGATGATAGATGTTTGATAGGAAAGAAGGAGTAAAAACCACACCAGAGCACCCGCTAACCACCCACAAACATCATCTATACAGGAAACACAAGGCAAAAGACAACAGGAACAGAGGAAGAAAAAAAATGATCAAGGTAGACGTGCTTCGAAGACCAAAATTTGGCAAAATATCTCCAGTTTCATAAAGAGCAGGAAACAAATCTTTCTTCCCGTTCTTGTTTCTACCCAAGATGAGAGAGAATCAGCCAAAGCAACAAGATGATTCAAACTTAACATGGGGAGCACCCCACGGCCCTGATATTTAACCCAACAACCCCACCTCTGACCTCAACATCACTGACACAACTCCAAAGGCTGTAATCAATGAGTAGTGCCAGTAGTGGGAAATGTCAGAAATTCCAGAATCAAACAAGGAGTGGAGTGACTCTAGTTAGTACACAGTTTCTAAAGATACACACACACGCACACACTGCAGAGCTACCGGTCCGGCCCACCTCACAGAACCAGAGAGAGGAAAACCCTGTATGGCAGGCACGAGCAAACTACGCCTGTGGGAAAGATCCAGCCCTCAAAAGCAGTTTCAGTCGGGCCCACGAGCTGACCCACTAGTTAACAATGAATGTTGCCCACAGAGAGCTGATAACGAAGAAAACAAAACTGTCCATTTTGAAAATTAAAATAGTTGCCGTGCCATAAAATAACCCTCAGTCAGTGACACATATGCTGTACTGTCCGTTTCAGTCTCGATATCATGAGCTTGTATATTTCAACCACATCTCACCCACTTTTCTCCAGTTTGGACTGCGAGATATTCGGAATCGCTAAATAATCCAACCCGCAGTGAAGCCATACTTGCCCATGTCTGCCGTATAAAAAAAACCACAGCGAGTGAAAGAAAAGGAAACTCCCAGAAGTAATCTCAGTCCAAGCACACAGGCCACCCATAAGAAAACACACTAAGTAGGCGAGATGAGAAAACTCGAGCTCACGATAAGATTCACTTGCCACGCAGCATCATCTCCCGACGGATGACGACGCCTCAAGCTTTGTTCACACGGGCTCAAGGGGGGTAAGAGAGAGAAAGATTCCCACAGACTCTGGGTATATGGCGCCAAAAAAACAAGAAAGAGCGAAAAATGACAACAAGTTACAAGAGAAAACCTCAACAGGACAAAAAGTCATTCCATCAACAAACGAATCCTGCAAAAAAATATTCACCAATGCACGAAACTGGTTTGTTGGTTTGTTTTTTTCTTATGTACACAAAACGCCATCAAACCATGTTCCTAGTACATATATATGTATAACTGTGTACAATTTCCACCTGGCCTCCCGGCCAGTACTGCATTGTAAAACATTATGAAGGAGTGATGCTGCCCACTAAAACTTGCACTGTGTTAAACAATAACCAAAATGATTCAAGAACAGAAATGACACGAACCTCCGACACACTTCGCTACTCACTCCATCGCTTAGCATTCCCTTCACAAGGAAAAGAGGGAAGGAAGGAAAAAAAAAAAAAAAGAAAAAACAGATGAGACATTTGATGCAATTTTCACCGCACACAACCGACTACGATTTTATCAACAACAACTGCCGCTCTAGCATCACAGGTTTTTAGGGCTCTCTCATCATGACAGCCAAATCGTTGAAACTGAACGTTACAATCATCATACAGGGTCATAATATGAAAATTCCCACACATCTCAACCCAGTTACTTCTGGTACTAAATCTGCCCCTGATTAAACCAGCTGGTACTGCTGTAATAAATTAATGTACATGGTGGATGGTGATGAACAGATCTGAGGAGGAGAGTACTTCGGTTTCATAAATGCCATCAATATGAAGCAGAGAACAGACAAATAATAGTACTTCCCATCTATCCAACACTTTAGTTTTCAAGTCTGAACAACAGGAGGGTTCGTCGACACCAGCCCGCATAGACGACATAGACAGATGTCAGACGACGTCACTCGCCAGTCAAACACATCACACTCATCACACTATGCAACACAGAGTAGAAGAAATCAAATATCTACCAAAACAGAACTCTTCCTTTTCTTCACTGCAGCCATGTCCCACTTGCACAACCTTCACACACTACTATAACACTGATAAATATAAGAAGAAAGTTGTTGTTATTGATCGAGTTGAAGAAGAAAGAAACACACGGCCTTTTCAACTTGAACATGATTCAAGAATTGAAAAGAGATGATCTTGCTTTTAATTAATGTGCTGTGTCTGATGATAAATTTCACCAAAACTGGAGGTTCTTTTATTGAATTCACGGTCGCTGGATGGAACGGTTGAGCATACCAACTAGGGAGAAGGTCGTGAGGTACACTGATGGCAGCCAGAACCACAGTTCCTCTATCGTTAACACTATACAGGCACTTCAGCAGGAGAGGGAGAACAAAACTGTCCAACGATAGCCCATCGCTGATGACATTGAGGCAGCCGTCTTTCGGTGTTTTCTAACAGAAAGAAACAACATACACAGATTCCGACTATAGCAATGGGCCTACTACATGAAAGATAGATCATCCCTCATCACCCCCCCCCCCCCCTCCCTTCCTGTCATCATCACAAACCTAGAGGAAGACAGAAACTACAGGGAGACTGACAGCCACACAGAACAAGACAGATTACACTACTGTCTATCTTCTCCTCAACTTATACCACTCAGGACAGCAACCCCCCCCCCCCCCCCCCCCAAAAGCTACACGAGAAACCTGTACGTGTTGGAGAGAAAAGTTTCCAGTCAGACTAGGAGTCTAATTCTGTACGTCCATCCAATGACTATTTCGTGTGTGCATGTCTGTGTACGTGTGTGTGTACACACTCCTGTGTTGTGTGTGCGAGCGCGTTGACATATGCGAGCATGCATTTACCGTGATACGGGCAAATTTCATTTTGTGGAGATCAAATAAAATGTTGTTATTTATCTTATTTCTTATCTCTCCACAACAACCAAAAGAAAAAGCACTGATGGTGACATTCCACTGGTGAGTGGACCAGGCCCTATATCAAAACACATAACAATGGCAAAAAGTATTATGATATGGTAACTGTCCGATTACGGGAGTGTTCATAAAAAAGACACGGTAACAATCTTTGAAAAAGACACTGTAACAATCTTTGAATAAAAAGTTCCATGACAAAGCATTAGTGGCAGTTAAACAAACACATTAAAATCCTCTACAAGAGAAAAGTTGCCCAGCAATGTACAATTGACTAAAGGAAAAAAGGAAAGGGACAGGGGAGACCAAAACTATCTCACAGAGCCTCATCAAATATTCCTTCCAGTCTTTTCTGCCTTCCCTCCCTCCCTCCCTCACTCACTCACTTAGCCTCACACTCAGCTCAGGCAGCTACAGTCCAGACAGGAATCGCCACACACCATCTCAGTCTAGGACAGTCCAACCTGCTCTATCAAACACTTGTCCAAGACAATCACCTGTACAAAAGACCACTTCCCACACACGTGTTTTGTTTTTTTTTAAATCATAATAACACCGTCAGAGATGTGCACGTTCTCATAATCCCCAACTTTTCTCCTCAACAACGGTTGGCCGTCTCGACCATATTTCTGCCCCACTGCCCAAGACTTTGACCTCTATTTCAGGTGTACGAAGGTGTCAAGTATTCAGCAGAGGCCAATAACTCAGTTAAAGCTTTTTAAAAACCTTTACAGAAACGCGAGTTACCACACCACCAACAACGCATCCAAAATTCGCCCATTTCACCAAGGGTACATCAGGGACTATTCACAAGGAAGAAACTAACCACGCCTCTATCCCGCCAAAACAGCGCTTGCCAACCTGGGCAATATAGCCCACTTGTGGTCCATTTTGGTTATTTTGGTGGGCGGTGGGGACCACCCATGCAGTGACAAGTATCGCGTAATGCCTCACTTGGACATGCAGGTAGGCGGCATGAAAATGTTAGCCTCTTCAAGGTGACAAAAGTTGTGGGCGCTGGCTATAAAAGGCTGACAGACACTGTGCTAAAACATAAGTGAAACACATTGAGACAGAAACTCCGAGAGTATCCACACAGATGAGTATTTCGTTCCCAACTTCCCTCCCCACTGATAGTAGTTCAAATAAAGAAACAGAGGGGAAAAACAACTTGGAATACCCTTCTTATCCTTTGTGTCCGCTGGAATGCTACAAAGACGTGAGAAATGTACAGAAACAATTTAAACAGCAGTTATGTTTATGAAAGAACAGAAACCACATGTTTCCTCCGCTTCAGACAAGAAAACATAAGCAAAATACGACCGAGGGTGAGGACAAGGAACACCCATTGGAAATTTGGGCACAACAGAACACAAAGTTTTCACTATTTCCTTCGCTTCATTTAACCCCTCGATATTTTTACACAGGTCATAAAAAGAAGTTTTGCGACAGCTCCAATTTACTTCATAACAGTCCAAAAGAAAAATGTCCTAAAGAAATTTAAGTAATAGGCTAAAAAAAATCTTAAGCACACCATCCCTTTTGGCTGCGGTATTCGACTACTAAGGAAAAGACAAACTTGTACACAATAAACCGTATGAGTCACAGATAAGCTCACAGATACAACGACACTCGGGTGGACATCCTGAGCTGTGAGGAGAGGTGGGTGAGGGTGGGAGGCGGTAAAAACCCGCCCGCTGTCCCACCACGACATGAAGCTCGGCCGCAGGTCACAACAGACGGCTGTTTGGTACTCCACTAGGTCGCCCATCCACCGACCACACAGCTCCAAACAAGAGAACACAGAATCTTTGAAGAAAACTTTGGTGTAAGGGGCAGAAATAAATCTAATATACATGAACATTTCCTTATGAGTGACGCACACAACTGGTATTCGGGAAGAAAACAGCATGATGAAACATAAAAGCAGCAAACATTTTTATCAACAAAGAACTTGGAAAAAAGACTACGCTTGTTGTAGTTCTAACTGTCTCTTCTTGTCTTCACACGCCTTTGTACAATCAAATTTCATAAATCCCAGCAAATATTAGCCAAACAAAAGCAGCACCCCTCACTCACACACCACATCAGATGCTGGGTCCCAAGCCAGTACTATCTCACAGCACCCTCTCCTCATACACCCAAATAATCGTAAGTAAACAGTCCGCTTTCCACACACCTTGACACAAACCCCAGGACTATAAGGGTGTCACAACGCACCCAAACATCTCTCTCCCTTTCCATCTCTCTCTCTTTATCTCCCTCCCTCTCTTGCACAACTTCTGATAAATAAAACACGTGCATAAAGGATGTTCAACAATTTCAAAACCAAACCTGGAGCACCAGCACAAAGTACACCCCAAACATAAGAGTCACCACAGTCGCTCGAAAAAGAACAATTTTACTGGCTTCCTGTCACAGCAGTGTATACAATTCAACAAAAATAAAAATAAAAATCACACAATCTTCAACAAAGAGAAAGAAAAACAAACCAGTCTTCACATTGCCAGAAATTCACAGCTCACTGAAGTCACACAACCAAAACACATCCTGCATCCCATAGCTGACCGTGATGCAGCCCAGATGGCACACTCTTATACACATACGCACATCAAACACTCACACATGCAAGCACACACACACAGAGGCAGACAAATAGAGTTTCCAAGTCGTCACTAGGAGTTCCGTGCATGGGGCGGCAGGGTTGCAGATTTGGAAGTCGATGGATGTCTTTGTTGTGGACCAAAAGAGGAATACTGCTTGGTGCCACGGGCAGTGCTGGTGGAAGAAAAGAAACATTTCTTTAAAAACCTGTTAGATAACATCATTAGTCTTCCCTCGAATACAACATCTGCTTTAAGTTCCACAATCTCCCATGATAAGGAAAAATCCACAAAGCAGAGAGGATATATCTATTATGTGCTTTACGCCTTTATAATATATAAACCCTCCTCACACTCATAAGAACATTTCCTACGCTTTTAAAAACATCTTCTACACTTGTAGAGTGAGAAACTGACGGTGTCGGGTTTTTAAAAAGTCATTTGTAGAACTAAACTGTATGCTCTGATCGGCCGCATCTGAGTGTGTCATCAGAGCGTCCCTGGTTTTTCTATTTCTGACAAGGAAAAAAAAAAAGCATGATGCGGCAAATTCTAAAAATATAAACTATGTCATGGCGAATGAATACTGTACTTCTCTTTATATTTAGCCAGGAAGAGGCTACAACTAATGGTGTCTATGAAGAACATCAGATCTGGTATACAATGCTGAAATCTACTTGTGTGTGTGTGGAACCTAGAAAGTTCCGCAGAAGAGAGACATCTGTATGGGAAATCAAGAAAGTTTCAGAGAAAAGGTGATGTGAATTATGTGTGTATGTATGTGTGTAATCTAGAAAGTTCCAAAGAAGAGTGATGTGTATGCGTGTGTGTTTGTGTGTAACCTAGAAAGTACCAGAGAAGAGAGACATCTGTATGGGAAATCAAGAAAGTTTCAGGGAAAGGGTGACATGTATGTGTGTGTGTGTATGTGTGTAACCTAGAAAGTTCCAAAGAAGAACGACGTGTACGTGTGTGTGTGTGTGTGTAACCTAGAAAATGTCAGAGTGATGTGTGTGTGTGTGTGTGTGTGTGTGTGAGAGAGAGAGAGAGTGTAACCTAAAAGTTCCAGAGAAGAGTGGCACGTTTGTGTCTGTGTTTGTGTGCAAGGTAGAAGTTCCAAAGAGGAGCGACCCGTGCGTGGACTCACTTGAGGTTCCCCGAGCTGACGATTCCCTTCTTGGAGACTTTCTTGCTGAGGTGAGTGACCCACGTCTTCTGCTTCTCTGTGGACTCGGCCAGGAGCAACATCTCTTTGGCTTGGATGCTCGAGTCATAGTTCACTGGAACAACACATTAAAAGATGGTGTCGAGTCATCGTTCTCTGGAACAACACATTAACCTTATCCGTATGCCCTGGGGTCATTTTGTACCCCTGAGATGTATTCTTCACATTTTACAATACTTCTAGTACGAAGATCTCTTTGAAACTTTCAGTATTTCTCAAAAAATCATTTTGACAGATTGCTGTGCGAAGCGTACGGATCGGATTAATGAGTAAATTTCCTCTTTGGAAAGTGGTGGCACAGAGTTCACCCCGCCGTATGGATATGATAGTAAAACATGGCGTACGGATAGGGTTAAAAGATGGTGTTAAGTCATAGTTCACTGGAATAACACATTTCATTAAAAGATGGTGAGTTTATTTAACTCACTGATGAGAACAGTTATCAAACAGTGCAGCCTCCACAGCCTGAATCAGCCCATTTACAATTTACAATGTGCATTACAACAGATTAATGTCCCCACTTTGGGAATGGCCTAAAGACACTTCAGTCAGTAGCACTGTCCCGGGGAGTCAAAAGCAGTTTCAAGACGTGCAATCAAAAGCAGAGCAGCACTCAGCAGGAACCATACCTTTGCAGTAAGCGATGAACTCTTCGTGCTTGTCGTAGTGGTCTCGGTGGACCTTCACATGGCAACCTGAGGAGAGCAAGACAAGCAGGGAAGTGGTAAGTATGAGAGAACACACTCACATCATAACAACCTACTCTAATTGCTTGCTTTGTTGGGGTTTTTTTTGTTAGTTTTTTTCGTTTTCATACCCAAAAAAGGAGGAGGAGAGATAAGGACGATAGATGTGTGACAGGAAAGAAGGAGCAAACCACAGCAGAGCACCCGCCAACCACCCACTTGGTTTGTTTGAGTAAAACGAAGCACATTGACATAATCATGGTCATTCAGTGCTTGGAAAAATTAAGATTCACAGACAGAAACAACAGAGGTAAAGAAAAGAAGTAAGACCTAAAACAAAATATTAAATCTATTGTACAAGAACTATCAAAACAGCCAAAAGTGTCTACCACTAACCACAGCCCAAGCTGCCAACCATATATTCCCCTGTCACCAAAGCCACATCCCATACAACCTACAAGTAACTGCCCAGACTGTCTATCACTTATTCCCCTTTACCAAAACCACGCAACACTAATCACATTCTTGTCTGCCACCACTGCCAGAGACTTACATTTACATGTGGCAGGCAACCTAACACAAGCCACATCCCTATCTGCCTACCACTGCCAGAGACTTACGTTTACATGTGGCAGGCAACCTAACACAAGCCACATCCCTATCTGCCTACCACTGCCAGAGACTTACGTTTACATGTGGCAGGCAACCTAACACAAGCCACATCCCTATCTGCCTACCACTGCCAGAGACTTACGTTTACATGTGGCAGGCAACCTAACACAAGCCACATCCCTATCTGCCTACCCCTGCCAGAGACTTACGTTTACATTCCAGGGCGGGCGGAGGGTGCAGCACGTGCCACACAGTCTTGTGGCAGGCATCACAGGAGGTGGGCGTGCGGTAGTTGAGCGGGACAAAGTCGTGGCCCTTGTAGCTGATGATGCCAGCCTTGTCGGCCGCTGCGGCGATGGCGTCCTGGCCCGCTTCTTCAGGCTTGCGGTTTTCGCCTTCACTGGCATAGAGAATCTGCATAGAAAAAATATTTTTAAACGTAGGTTATTTTATGCCCTCATTGACACAGTTTAGATCATCTAGGAGGCAGGCTTCCAGACCTGCCTATCAGGGCCAAGCCAGGCTGAATCGGATAAAACATCCAGGCAGAAAGACCAAGATACTTGATAAATATTTTCTCCATACTCGGGAATCGAACTCAGGTCTTCTGTGTGTGACATATAAGTACTTAACCGCCACAACACAGATGACGGTAAACAAATTTCATTTTGAAGAATATTTTCAAACGGTCAAAAAGGTAGCTTTTGCCCCTTTTTAAAAAAATCTGGCCAGCCCGAGACTGTATCAAACGAATCATGTCATGTATTGCATGAGCAAGGAGCACTGGGTATTACACACACCCTGACAGCTTACCTGAAAGATTCGTGGTATGTCTTTGGCGTCAGCCCTGTACACATCACCCTGTGTCACCGGACGGACATGGAAAAGTTTACTGGGGATTAAAAGAAAAAAAATTCCATGACATTCTGTCAACAAGAAAAGAACAGCTCTTAGAATCTATGAGTCTTTAACACTTTGCCGCCACCAGGCTCATATAGTAAAAACTCTTGTTATCAAGGGCAAAGGCATTTTGAGGAAAATCCAAAGAAACTGGGTGGTAAACATCGCCGATCGGCGAGATGAGGCGGCAAACTGTTCATAATTTCAGTCCACTACAACCTCTCGCCTCACCCTAAACACTCATCCTAAATCTTTTACTTTTGAACCCAATATCTTTGTATTTACTCAGTTAAGTATCTATCATCTTTGTACTCACTCAATATCTTGTGTCTGCATTTACTCAATATTTTTCATTTTAGTTCTTTGCATTTACTCAATATTTTTCATATTAGTTCTTTGCATTTACTCAATATTTTTCATTTTAGTTCTTCAATATATTTTTATATTAGTGCTCACTCAGTATTTCTTTTCTTTGTCGCCAACACCTCCATACATTTTTTCATAGTACTCACTCAACATAATGTATCTTTATACTCGTTCAGTCTTCCAATTTGTACCCACTTACATCTTTTATCTTCACACCCATTCAATATACTTTATCTTTGTATTTCATCAATATCTTTCATCTTTATATTCACTCAGTATCTTTGTACTCACTCGATGTCTTTTATCTTTGTACTCAGTCAGTACCTTTCATCTGTTTAACTCACACAATATCTTTTAACTTTGTAATCAGTACCTTTCATCTGTTTACTTCAGGGAGGCCAAATGATTTTTGAAAAAAAAAAACCCTGAAAATAAACGGAGCATCACATCTCACCTAAAACAAACCTTGTAAAAATTTTATATGAGCACACAAAAACATCTCTCTTACCTCTCCCCTTTCCTTTGCAAGGGTACGGGGACTTTGTTTCACAAATTCCAGTAATATTATATCTGTCTTGAGAAGAAGGACCTTATGCCAGTGGCCTTCTTCTTCAGGGATGCGAAATGATTTTTGAAAAAAAAACAACCTGAAAAAGCCTGAAAAACTTGAGAATTGGCATTCCTGTTACTCACTCAATATCTTTTATCTTTGCCCTCACTCAGTACCTTTCATCTGTTTTACTCACTCGATATCTAGCACCAGAATGGGGTCTGTGTTCTGTTTGTCGTTCTCCGTGTTGTAGAAAAGCACCTTGCGACTGCTGACCACCACGTACTGTTTGCGCCAGCCGTACTTCTTGATGTTGTTACGGTTGGGCACGGCCAGCCACCCCTCCATGTACGTCTCCGATTGCACTGGGGAGCGGAGCAAATTCTGGACTAAAAAAACAACGTACGTCGTCGGTGGTCTGACGTCAGGGTAAACAAAGCAGGGCACATGTGTTTTCTCAAGTAGCAGTAGCCTTTCTCAGCAGACGCAGCTTTCACAGGTTTTTCGTTTAGTTTTTTGTAAGAGGTTGCTTTTTTCACAGCATTCGCAAAAACCACAGACGCCGGTGGGAAGAGCAAAACAGACAGACAATCAAAGAAGATAATGAAAAGAAGTAGGACCCAACAGTCACGCCCTCTAACCACCAACCTAGAAAAGGGAAGAGCAGGGAGTACTGTACAAAAACCTCCCATAAAATGGTCAGTGCTGGCTAGAGAAACAGCAAAGTAGCCTGAGAAAACACATTACTTCACAATTCAGCATCGCAATAAGACAAATATACCAGCCGTCAAGCAGCTGTGTCAAAATTATCAAGCGTAGGACAAAATTTTATAAATTAAATTATCATCATTAGTATGACTCTTCTTCTGCTCCCATAGATTTGTCATCCTTTGGGTTGCCTCTGACAGGTGACAACAAACAAATCTCTTCCACTCTCTCCGCTTTCCTCAGTCTGTCCCGCAGCTCCATGGCTGTCCATTCTCAAGTATTATCCTCCCATCTCTTCTTCTGGCTGCCTCTCCTTATGACTATGATTATCATTATTATTATCATCACCATCATTATTAACCTCTCACCAATACCCAATCCCCCAAGCTGTCTACCTGGAGTCCCTTATCATTATGAACCCCACCGCTTCCTCAAGAACTGTCTACCTGTAGTCTCATATTATTAACCCCACACAACCCTCAAACATTGCAGTCTCTTATCATTACTAACCCTATCCGTACATTCTGTTTTACTATCGTATCCATACGAGGTGAGGAACTCTGTGTCACCACTTTCCAAAGAGGAAATTTACTCGATAATCCGATCCCTACGCTTTGTATAGCAGTCCAAAAAAATAATTTTTTGAGAAATACTGAAAGTTCCAAAGAGATCTTCGTACTAAAAGTACTCTAAAATGTGAAGAATACAACCCTGGGGGTACAAAATGACCCCAGGGCATATGGATAGGGTTAACCCCACCCCATTCCCCCGTGCCATCTACCTGTAGTTTCATCGGGCTGCAGCATGAGCGAGCTCTCGTCGTGCCCACTGTGCACCGAGGAGTTGTCCGAGGTGGATGCGAAGGCTAGCTTCTGTCGCAGCTGCTCCATCTCCGAGTCCTTGGCGTCCATCTCCATCTGCAGCTTCTGCCGCGCCTGGCTCTCCTCGTAAACGCTCTGCTGCGCCTCCAGCACGTCGCGCTGCATCTTCTCCACCATCTTGTTGTACTTCTCTCGCTCCTGGGGGAGGACACACAGACACACACGCAAATTACAGATAAACATACAAATGAAGACAAACAGACATGCAAATACAGAGGTGCATCTTCTCCACCATCTTGTTGTACTTCTCTCTCGCTCCTGGGGGAGGACACACAGACACACATGCACATTACAGACAAACAGACAGACACCATTAATCTTCTCCATCATTTTGTTGTATTTCTCCCGCTCCTGGAAACACACAGACACACACGCAAATTACAGACAGACACACAATCTTCTCCACCATCTTGTTGCACTCCTCCCACTCATGGGTACATACAGACATGCATGCACATTACAGACAAACAAACACATTATCTTCTCCACCATCTTGTTGCACTCCTCCTGTCCTGGGTACACACAGACAGACACATAGATGCAGACAAACACACAAATAAACACAGACAACACAAACCCACAAAAAAACAGATGTTGGACTTCTTTAGTTTTAGTTTTAGTAAGAGTTTTACGGCACTTGCAACACAATAAGGTCATATATAAGTGCCGAAGATTAGAGGAGTTACAAGAGAGTAACATACACAAAAAAGGAGGGGAGATAAAGCCGACAGACGTTTGACAGGAAAGAAGAAGCAAACCACACCAGAGCACCTGCCAACCATCCACCCACTAAACCTAAAAAGAAAAAAATAATAATAAAGTAATATTGAATTAAATATTCAAGCCAAAAAAAAAATAGAATCTTGCCCTTAGCAAACAGCAACTTCTCTAATAAGAGCATGATCGTAACAGTAAGAGAAGAATAGAGGAAAAAGACAGACCGACAGACAGACAGACAGACAGACAGACAGACAGATAAACAGAGAGACGAACCATCGTGAGCTCCTGCTGCAGTTTGCGGTTCTCCTTCTCCTTGCGCTTGAGCTCCCCGTCGGAAGCCTTGCTCTTGCCACGGCCCACCTGGCTGAACTCCTTCCTGTTCATGATCTCCGCAAGTTTGTTCACAGCCTGTAATGATGAAAATAATAATAGCAATAATAAAAAAGATGATAGTATAAGTAATAATAATAATGAGTCGTAAAGAAATATAAAAATTAATTAATTTCCATTCTTTCAAATAAAGCACCAGCACATTTTCAAATATGACACGCATGACAGATTCATTCTTCTCTT